GGGGGGGGGGGCTAGCACCACGGCCAGTGAGCCGCAAACCTCCTCCTCGCTCTCCCCGACCCGCGCCGCGCCACCGGCCTCGATGCGAGTCCACCACCGCGCCTCGCAGGCGGCGGCGGCGTGATGCTCCTCGTGCTGCTTTGCTCGGTGGGAGGCTGCTGCTGGGCGGCGCAACGGTTCGGCGTCAAGGAACGCGGCGCCGGCCTCCTCGCCAGCATAGAGGGAGGCTCCAGCTATGAGGCGGCTGGCTCCGGCGCGCTCGGCTTCTAGTTTGTTTGTCCCTCGCGCCCCGCACTCGGGCCAGGAGTGGCTGTTCCCGGGCATTCACACTATGTTCCTGAGATAATTTGGCGATTATATCCATAATCCCTGGTCTGGCCGGTTCTTTTCGCGGTATCCGCGGCGGGATATGGCGGGATATGGCGGGATACCGGGAGATACCGGGAGATACCAGGAGATGCACGTGGATATGGATGAGATACGGAGCCCCCATGATGTGTTCACGACAACGTCCGTCAAGCGTGAAACCCAAAATCGGACGCATTCGCGCTTCGACGGCCCTTGTGGCGATATTGCGCGCGATATTGCGCGATATTGCGCGATATTGCGCGATATTAGGCGATACTCGGCGATCATTCAGGGATCCGTCGCGCTCTGCGGCCGGAGCGCGGAGAGAGGCCGGGCTGCTCGGCGTGAGGCGGGCAGGATACGGAAGGATATGGCGGGATATGGCGGGGTATGGCGGGATATGGCGGGATATGGCGGGATATGGTCAGATATGGAGAGATACATCAAGATACCGCAAAAGAACCGGCCAGACTAGGGCTTCCATAAGGGATTTCATCCCTTTTTGGTTTTTGGAGACTCGTGTTTCGGATGTTTTTACGGTTGTTTTTGGGTAAAACGTATACAGCGAACGCGATGCGGCCTCTGCCTAGCTTCCTGCTTCTATGCGCGAGCTACGGCGTGACCGCTATCGCTAACTTACTTAAAGTACCTTTGCGCAACTGCGGCGCGGCGCACGGTGCCTCCGGGGGCCCCCGCCTCCCCCCAGCTGTGTCCCTAGAGGTGTCTTTGACATTTGACTTCGATGTCTGGTGGGGGACGATTTATGTCTGGTGGGGGACGCAGGTGCTCAAAGGTTGCGGGCGTGTCACCACTCGCGCCTTGGCTCTCGACACTGGGTTCTGGACATGCAACGACATGCCGAAAAGGGAGCGATCCGCGGCGCAGGCACGCGCTGAGGCCGTGTATAGACGCGCCAATCCGGATGATAGGGGCGATCGGGGCCGTGACCGCAGGGCCGAGAAGGTCGAGTACAGACGCAGACTCAAGAACGCGAGAGCGGAGGCTTCTAGCGCGGCCGCCGTCGAAGAGTCGTTACGCTCTCCCCGATCCGTCAACCGTGATTTCTTGCTCTACATGTACACCTCTCGAGTGGCACGAAACCCGACCAACGCGTGGCGTGGAACCATAAAACTTGTGTGTGTGTGTGTGTGTGTGTGTGTGTGTGTGTGTGCGCGTGTGTTGACCCGGGACCCGCGGGCTTACGTCACCCTTACAGAGCTAGACCTAGAGCTACGATGATCGATGTGTACGGCTTTACGAACAGAGACACGAATATCACGATCGTCCAGCATCTTGGTGGGACACGTCATGCGAGAGACACACGTTTTGCGTTCAGTGAGTAGAGAAGTGTCCATGGGACACCATGATCCACCATCGGATCGCACAACAATCAACATGCACATGGACATGGACATGCACCCATGTGCATGCACATGCACACGCACATAAATCATAATATGCCCCGTAACAAATGCACATGCACATGCACATGTGCGTGTGCATGTGCATGTGTATGTTGTGCATGTCGCATGTGCATGTCGCATGTGAGATGTGTGTATGAGAGCACGCTGACTAGGTCCAGCCCTGGGAGTTGGGTGGCACGGGTTGTGACATTTGGCGATGATAGTAAACGGGTCAGAACCGGCCAAACACAGGCTACAGCCCATAGCTCCTGGAGAGCATGCGCGAGTGACGCGCTACAAGAGGCGAGAGTGGCACGATCACGCGAATCAGTACAGTATTGCTGCACCTCGCAGCTGCACCGCGTGTGCTCGCAGTGTATGCCACGGCCGCCGCCTGCGGCATTGCTCTCGTGCAGCTAGGCGACGCAGGTCCATCAGCAGGGCTCATCCAATGCGAGCGCACATTGTGCGTAGCCGCGGGCAGGTGGCAGTGCACAGTCGTACACCGGCTGTGGCGGCTCGAATGCCCCCGGCAGCAATGCTGGTCATTAACTTGCGTATTGGGGCCGCAGCAGACTGCTGCTGTTTCAGCAGCAGCAGCCTGCTGCTGCCTGATTCAGTCAAGCCACAGCGGTGCAGCGAGGCGTGCAGAATTCGCGCGGTTTGGTACCTCCTGAGGCTGAGCGCGTTCAGACCCGGTGACCGGAGTTGGATGGTCCGATGGAGCTCGCCGAGCTCCATCGAACCATCCATGGCCGGACGGCGGAGCGTGAGGTAACTACCGGAGAGATGTACCGCAAGACAAGAAAAACACGGCTCTGACGGATGTCAAACGTCAGATCTGTGCCACCCTGGGCTGGACCTAGTCCGCTGCTGTGTGTATCACTCTTCATTATATCAGCGTGTCTCACACACAGCGTGTCTCTCACCATGTGTCTCACACACTCAACGAGCATTCGGGAGGATCGTCGGCCTCCCCTTTTTGGCAGCATGCCCCCGGTGTGCCCAGCGTGCCGTCGCATTTGGAGCAGAGCCCGGCTGCGTCGCCGCAGGTGTTCCAGCACTCGCCTGGCCCATTGATGTTGTTGCAGCCCTCGCACTTGGTCACCTCGGGCGGCGGGGGCGACGGCGGCGGCGGCGACGGCGGCGGCGGCGACGGCGGGGCGGGCGGCGGCGGCGCTGATGGGCCCTCCTCGGCATCGGGGATGCTGTCGCCGTCCGAGTCGGGGTCGAGGTGGTCCGGGATGCTGTCGCTGTCGCTGTCGCCTGTGCCCTCCTCGGCATCGGGGATGCTGTCGCCGTCCGAGTCGGGGTCGAGGTGGTCCGGGATGCCGTCGCTGTCGCTGTCGAGTGCGAGGCCTGTCTCGGTTGGGACGGCCGCCTCGGAGAGCCTGCGCCCCCCGCCTGTCATTTGGCACGCCGTGCCGATGAAGATTCGGCAGGTGGACCCGAGCACCTGACACATCGGATGCACAAACCTGGTTTAGTGGCGGGCTGCGCACGCGGGGTCTTCTTTTGCACGCACCTCATAGCCGCATGACCCTGACTTCGCCTTCGCTTGGGCGCAGCACCCTTCGGCGCCAAGAGCTACGTCGTCGTGACTATCTTCTCCGGTGATTCTGCTTCCGTCGCAACCCACGGTCATAGACTCGCACCCTGGGCATGGTGTTGCCGGCGATGGCGGAGAGGGCGGCGGGGCGGACGGCGGCGGCAGCGAGGGCGGTCCAGGTGGGAGCAGCACGCACGTATGGTAGCCATCGTACAAAAAGCTGGTGTCGGGCACCCACGAGCATTCGGGAGGATCGTCGGCCTCCCCTTTTTGGCAGCATGCCCCCGCTGTGCCCAGCGTGCCGTCGCATTTGGAGCAGAGCCCGGCTGCGTCGCCGCAGGTGTTCCAGCACTCGTCTGGCCCATTGATGTTGTTGCAGCCCTCGCACTTGGTCACCTCGGGCGGCGGCGACGACGGCAAGGAGGGTGGCGGGGTCAAGGGCGGGGGCATAGAGGGTGAGGGGTTCGAGGGTCGCCGTCGGCGGCGGTCGCCGGCCGCCGACGC